CATCATTTTTGTGTTTTAGAAATTTGAATAACTTTTTTGTACCTAGTTCAAAATAGAAAAATAAAAAAGATATTTCATTGCAAATTTTATCCTTTTTATGTGGTGAAAATTTTGTTTCTTAGTTATCACTGTAGCCTTCTCATTTTTTACTAGCATTTAGAATTTATGTTTTTTTACTATAATATWGGCAATACCTTCCTATATTGATTCATTCAAGGTACCTGTTCAAGTTCATAAGTTTTTGCTCGGTCTTCATCCATATCTGCCATTTTTTTACARGCCATTGATAAGCCCCATACGGCCAGTACTGTATATACATTGTCCCTGATCCAGGCATCTGAATTGTTTGGGCTCGCCGGAAATAAACCTGTGACTGGATTCTAAAATATTGCAAAACATAATTATTCACTATCATTAGTTCATAGAATACATTGAGATTTACAAACAAAAATATAGCCGATACTTAGAGTCTYTAGTGACTGTTGATCACTCTTTTTTCAGAATGTTAGCKAATATAYWCTATATTGGAGGGTAAGATATAAGTATAGTAATAAAACAATAATAATTGGTGGATCATACCTGATGGCACAGTATGATATTGTGAACCACTTTGTGATAATAGTCCAGTCGTTGACCGGCAATGCTTCTGTCATACATTTTTGACATTCTTGTTCTTCTCTCGCACAACTGGCACTAATACGAACAAACRTATACGGACCAAACTGCAGGTAACAGACAATAATTAGGTACRAAAGGCGATGACTAGAGATTAACGGCAGAGGTCGCTAACGGGTTCGACATAACAATATGTGCTAACAGAGTTGGTTAATAAAATAAGCTGTAAATAATCCGACAGCAAGAATCCGGATACGCACAGACGAAAAAACGGACTAATCGTTACCAAGTTACTCAGTCAGTCAGTTGGTCACGTCACAATGGATGACGGGGTCTCCAGGGGCAGGGACGATCGTGTATGAGTATGACGTACTTCTATTTATAATAGATAATCATCCGACAAGACATAACGAATGTATAGGCACTAGGCATGGTATGACTAAAAAAATTGTACGTGTTCCTCTCTCACTCACCTCGGCGGCGGTCTCTCTCTAGGTATCTCACTGGCTCGTCCAAATTTTTTTGAATATTGAACTGTCCGTATCTCGCTTTTATTACTATTATTATTTTTCATCATATTTCTTTCCTTATCAGCTCGTTCGTTATCAGCGCTTCGCACGACCCGACGGCCTGTTAAGTTTTTGCGGTCGYAGCGAAAACGGCGTGGTGGGCGGCAGCATCGTCCGTGACTGCAATGATTAYGGTCATTAATGGGTATCATGTCCGCATGACCGTATACCGCGTGTTCGCATAAACAGCGCTAGCTGTATGATAATTAAATAGATCAGTACTCTACATATTTTTGAATTCTGTTCGCAGAACTTGAAACTATACCACCTATTGGATCGTTAATCYCCAGTAGATTGTAAAATATAGATGTTTTTATTGGCTTATTGCAAAKGGGTAATGTAGGTAATCGAGCTAYAAATAAGCCAATAAGTGTAACCAGTTTTAGCGAACACGCTGTATGAGTGCTCACAAGTCGAAACCAAATTTCGCTAAGGGGCCGGGTTTGAACTCTTAAACCCCCGGTCTAGCCTTCAGATATGGTTTTGTTAGGGTTCAGAAATAGACAATAGTTCATAAAAAAATCTTTCACGTTCATGTTTAAAAAAAAAAAAATAAAGGTGTTCATTTGGCAAATTGTTTGATTACAATATAGAATACTTATGATTAATGAGAAACCATCTTTTAAATTTTCAATCCTTAAACCTATACAAATTGAATATTTTATAAATTTTTAACTATACCTACAAAATAATTTGCTAATGATTTTTTTTCAATATTTGAACTTCAAATAGGTACTTATTACTTAAAAAATAAAAATAATGTAGTTATAAAAGTCGTGTTTATGTTGGTATCTTTAATAACTTTTAACAGTTATTAATTATTATGTTAACTTATGAGAAACATTATATTAATTTTTCGAGCTTTTTGGCTGAGAGAAGCATTTTTATCGATATTTTTTAAAGAAAAAAAAATTCAAATTTCAAATGTCTATATATAGCTCAAAAATAGTTAAGATTTTTTTGAAAATGTTTTATGTTTAGAAAATGAATGTTATGCAGATATTCATTTTTATTAACTTTAAAATAAGCAAATCATTATTTACGAGTAAATAACCTAATTATAATATATAGGTAGGTATATAAATATATAATTATGTCATAAACATTTGAACTTCAAATCAATCGATTGTAAATYAATCATATTTATCAACAATAAACTTCCTGACTGGTGAATTATGCCAAAATTCTACCTTCAGACACTCTTAAAAATTATGATAGATTACGCACGAAATTTTTTTTTTAACAACTATAAACATTATACAACTTATGAGAAACTTTGTATTCAATTTTCAAGTTTATTGACCTAGCAAAAAAATGTATTTTGTGTATAATAATAAAAACATTTCTCTTGTCTATGATAGTACAAAAAAGTTAGAATAATTTCAAAGTATTATCATGTAAAGTATTATCACCTACAGAAAACAACCAAACTATTCCTAAACATCTGAAGAAAATGTAAGTATCTACGGTTATTCGCTTTTGAATTACAACAATAAAAAAAATCAATTTTGTCGATAACTACAAGTTTTGCATCAAAATTTCATAGTTTTTTTTATTTTATTTTTTATTTTCACAACGCTTTTTGAAGACTACTTACTAAGATCGTTTTACTTAACTGGACTTAACTTTTCTTCCAGAAAACATGCTGTACTCTAAAGCAAAGCATTTTTAATTACCCAAAAGGTGATGGTCGACAAAAAAAATAAGTACAAAAACACAATGCATTATTGTAAAAACAATATACATGCATCACTCCATTGGCAAAATCTAAAATATGTTTATTATTTTAATTTGTTCTAAATATTTATATTACTTATATAGTTATATATTTAATTATTGCAACGTACAGCTAGTTGATTCATTTACATACAGATACATTTTGTAACTGTATAAATAATACCTACTTATTTATTCCAYGAAACATTTTTTGGTTTTACATTTTGACATGTTCGTGCATTTGACAAMATTTTATCCAGGTGACCTGCAGCCTGCAGGTCTTCAGGTCTTGTATAGATAGACTGTTGGATACTCTTACTTGAGTTGATATTGTACGTAATGTGAATGTATTTTCCATTGGAAATTCATCAATCGTTACCACATATTTTGTTTGGCATATTATTGTGAATTGAGTGCTTGATGCTTGAATAGTTGTATAATTATATAAAGTTTTAAAAAGCTTTTCCCTAGTTCCTGTATGATAGATCTATATTGATATATAGATTTTTGATAATACACATCAACTATCTTTTTTACCTAAAATAATATTTAAAATTATTATCATAAATAATAAAATAACAATGATTAAATAACTATGAATTATTTTATGTTGGTCTAATTACCTTTATAAAATCAGCTAAATCATTTCGATTATCTCTGTGACCTGTTTATATATTTTTTTTTTATCTAGCCATATTTGATATTTGTAATGAAGTACTTACCTATAATTTTATATCCATTTCATAAATTCTTTTTATTACACTTTTTCTTCTAGTGTTTGGTATTCTATGGAATAGGAATTTACTTTTCTACATAATATTGGATTCAACATTTTGCCAATTACACGAACATACCTAATAATAAATAAATAATAGTAATTAATAACTAGTATCGACCATCGGTCAAATCAAACTTCAATAATAAACTCGTTTTAATAATAATTGTAAAATCAACTGTATAATCTATTTATTCCTTATCACTTGCCTACGCAGTTTTGTTCGACGTTTTTGTTCTTACTCTTTTATTTACAATTTATCAGCGTATAAACATCATCAGTGTTATAACTAGGGCTCGGAAGTTGTAGGAGCTAAAAAAGTTAAAATATGCATGCAAATATGCACGAAAAAATTGCAAAATATGCATTAAAAATTGTTAAATATGCAAAAATATTATGCTGAATTCCAAAACTATACGCACTTCACCTACTAACAATACGACGTCTAAAACGAAACTGTCACTGTCAAACATCAATCGTGTACTTTTTAGTTAAAATTGGCAAAAYATGCATTTCCAATTTTTAATTTTTTAACACGCAATTGTATATTTCAAATTTCTAGCTAGGTCTGCTATAAATTGAGATCATACAGAACAATATGCAATTCCTACAACTTCCGAGCCCTAGTTATAACTAACCAATTATTTCATCTGTACTTATAATAATCCAATTATATAGGTACCTAAAATTATTAGCCACATTTATTGACAATGTAAACTATATTTATTTAATTGATCACTTTATTTCCATGCATCTCTGCTTCTAATAATATAAATGCGAGTACCTAAAGCATAATAGCACATAGTTCTAGTAGCCAGTGTTTTTTCAAAAGATAGTCACCATTCTAGACATTACTACATGTATACCGTTACGTATAAATTAGAGGTACCTATTTTGTCTTTTAATGAATTATTCCGAATTTATAATATTATTAATATTATAACTAATAAGTATCTAACTGTCCAATTTAGTGTTGTATTTATTATTATTAACTACCTGTCTGTTATCATTTAAAATAAATAATTTTGCTATATAATAATTAATAAATAAACAAAAACTTTTTTTGTAGGCGGTGAATAAGCTTTATCTTTGTATATATTATATAATATGACTATGTATATATAAAAGATCATGTATATTTTCTAAGGTCCTATAGATATTATACTAAATATACGTAGACTTGTATATGCATAGGTACTACGTGCTCCGATATTTTACAATAGATAATATACACAATTAGTATCTAGTTGAATTCAATTTTTTCTAATACATAATATAAGTGTACATATTTTGATGATAATTTCAAATAATAATATGTAAACGATCGTCTTATATGATAAAGTATTATATCATACCATTCATACCTAATCACGTATAAAATAAATCTCTAATTAGGTAGGTTACGTAATAGTAATTGTGTGCTCTACATAATGTGGTCATCATAGAGGCATATATTACACACACACACACACACACACACACACACACACACACACACATTGCTAGGGACATCCACGAGCTGATACATGCCAACTCATTTATAAATAATATTTATAATAGTGTAGAATCTCTCCAGAAACGCATTGCCATTCAA